TATAAAATTATCAAAATTTTAATATGCTTTTACATTAGGTTAATTAGTACATAACATCTCAACATTTTACAATTATTATTGAAAATGTCATTACTTTTCATTTTTTTGACATCTTCAACATTATTTCCAATTTTCATTGGGCAAAAAGTCATTTTCATTCATTTTTTCAATTAAAAATTGTAAAATAGCAAATATACCATTCTCTTTAAATAAAAACAAAAAGAAAAAGAAAAAAATAATTGCAATTATAATCCCAATTTTTTTTCAAAGCTCAAATGTGTCCCAAATAAATTATTAAAATGATAATTATCATATAAAGTCCTTACTTTTCATTATTATAATAGAAAACTTTCACACCTTTCATTTTTTTTTAACGTTTTCACTTTTAATTACATATTTGATTGCACAAATCATTTTTTTTTTCAAGTTATTATCATCCAATTTATTAATAAAGAGTTAGGAAATGATGAATATACCTTCATATTTTTAAATTTAAAAAATTACTTTTTTTTTAATTTTTAATTTTTTGATAATTTTTTTGGAACTCGTTTATGCTTTTTCATTTTTTTTATTTTTTAATAATAAATATAATTGGGACTCGTTTGCAGTTTATTTTTTAAAAAAAAAATAATTTCTAATTTTTTTAATAATTTATTTACTTTGGGAATGTTTGCTTTTTTTTTTAAAAAAAAAAATTCATTTCTAATTTTTTAATAATTTATTTAAGATTCATTTTTACTTTATAAAAAAATTTGGACCTATGGTTGCAATAAATTCTTTATTTTTTTTATTTAAATAGAATGGTATATTCATCATTTACGACTCTTTATTGAGAAATTAAATGAAAATATATAGAAATGAAGGTTTGCGCTATTAAAATTATAATTAAATGTGAAAATGTCAAAAAAATGAAAGGCGATGATTTTTTCGTAATAATATTGAACAGTAGAGACATTATGTGCTAATTACCATTTTAATAATTTATTTGGAACTCATTTGCACTTTTTTTTCCAAAAAATTAGGACTATGATCACAA